AAAAATCGCAAAATTCGAAAAACCATAAATTAAAATTAACCGAAAAATTGCAACAATTAAATGAAATGGGAAAGTTTAAGTATTCGAGAAACTGAAGCTCGTAAAATTCAAAATCTGAAAAACTAAATAATGGAAAAATTGAAAAAGTCAAAACACCGAGAAATTGAGTAATCAAAAATGAAAAATCTAAAAGTTGTAACATTGAAAGATAGGAAAATTGAATAATTAAAAAATCTAATTGCAAAATCATAAAATTAAAGTAACGAAAAATTGAAAATTGGAAAAATTAAAAATTGAAAACAACGAAGAATTAAAATATCTAAAAATTGAAAAATCGAAAAATTTGAATTCCAAAAAGTAAAAATTGAAATACCGATAAATTAAAAATTAAGAGATCTATAAAAAATGCAAAATTAAAAAAAAATACGAAATTAAAACAAGCAAAAATTGAAAAATGGAAAAAGTATTTCAAAAATCGAAAGGAATAGAGAAAATGAAAAACTGAAAAAACGAAAAATTGTAACAATGAAAACGAAATTGAAAACTTTAAGAATTCGAGAAATTGAAAATCGTAAAATTGAAAATATCGAAACACCGAGAAGTTGAATACTCAAAAATGAAAAACCTAAAAAATTTTGACATTGAAACATCGAAAAACTGAAAAACTAAAAAAATCTAATACATAACTGAAAAATCTAAAAATTGCAAAATCTTAAAATCAAAGTAACGAAAAATTGAAAAATGGAAACATTAAAAATTAAGAAACGACAAATCGCAAAATTGAAAACAACGAAAAATTTAAATATCTAAAAATGGAAAAATAGAAAATTTTGAATTCGACGAAGTAAAAATCGGAAATCTGAAAAGATGACAATTAGAAAAATTGGAGCAATGAAACATTGAAAACCAAAAATTAAAAAAACTGAAAAACCGAAAAATTAAAAATCAAGAGACGAAAAATCGCAAAATTCGAAAAACCATAAATTAAAATTAGCAAAAATTGAAAAATCTAAAAAATATCTCAAAAATCGGAAGGCATAGAAAAAACGAAAAATTGAAAACGGAAAAATTGCAACAATTAAACGAAATCGGAAAGTTTAAGTATTCGAAAAACTGAAGCTCGTAAAATTCAAAATCTGAAAAACTAAATAATGGAAAAAGTGAAAAAGTCAAAACACCGAGAAATTGAATAATCAAAAATGAAAAATCTAAAAATTGTAACTTTGAAACAGAAAAATTAAAAAATTAAAAATTGGGAGACGAAAAATTGCCAAATTGAAAAAACAAAAAATCAAAATAAGTCAAATTTGAAAAGTCGAAAAATTGAAACATTGAAACGAAATCGAAAAGTTTAAGAATTCGAGAAATTGAAAATCGTAAAATTGAAAATATCGGAACACCGAGAAGTTGAATACTCAAAAATGAAAAACCTAAAAAATTTTGACATTGAAACATCGAAAAACTGGAAAACTAAAAAATCTAATACATAACTGAAAAATCTAAAAATTGCAAAATCTTAAAATCAAAGTAGCGAAAAATTGAAAAATGGAAAAATTAAAAATTGAGAGACGACAAATCGCAAAATTGAAAACAACGAAAAATTTAAATATCTAAAAATGGAAAAATATAAAATCTTGAATTCGTTAAAGTAAAAATCGAAAATCTGAAAAGATGACAATTAGAAAAATTGGAACAATGAAACATTGAAAACCAAAAATTTAAAAAACTGAAAAACCGTAAAATTATAAATTAGAAACGAAAAATCGAAAAAATATCTCAAAAATCGGAAGGCATAGAAAAAACGAAAAATTGAAAAACGGAAAAATTGCAACAATTAAACGAAATCGGAAAGTTTAAGTATTCGAAAAACTGAAGCTCGTAAAATTCAAAATCTGAAAAACTAAATAATGGAAAAATTGAAAAAGTCAAAACACCGAGAAATTGAATAATCAAAAAAGGAAAAATCTAAAAATTGTAACTTTGAAACAGAAAAATTAAAAAATTAAAAATTGGGAGACGAAAAATTGCCAAATTGAAAAAACAAAAAATCAAAATAAGTCAAATTTGAAAAGTCGAAAAATTGAAACATTGAAACGAAATCGAAAAGTTTAAGAATTCGAGAAATTGAAAATCGTAAAATTGAAAATATCGGAACACCGAGAAGTTGAATACTCAAAAATGAAAAACCTAAAAAATTTTGACATTGAAACATCGAAAAACTGGAAAACTAAAAAATCTAATACATAACTGAAAAATCTAAAAATTGCAAAATCTTAAAATCAAAGTAGCGAAAAATTGAAAAATGGAAAAATTAAAAATTGAGAGACGACAAATCGCAAAATTGAAAACAACGAAAAATTTAAATATCTAAAAATGGAAAAATATAAAATCTTGAATTCGTTAAAGTAAAAATCGAAAATCTGAAAAGATGACAATTAGAAAAATTGGAACAATGAAACATTGAAAACCAAAAATTTAAAAAACTGAAAAACCGTAAAATTATAAATTAGAAACGAAAAATCGAAAAAATATCTCAAAAATCGGAAGGCATAGAAAAAACGAAAAATTGAAAAACGGAAAAATTGCAACAATTAAACGAAATCGGAAAGTTTAAGTATTCGAGAAACTGAAGCTCGTAAAATTCAAAATCTGAAAAACTAAATAATGGAAAAATTGAAAAAGTCAAAACAGCGAGAAATTGAATAATCAAAAATGAAAAATCTAAAAATTGTAACATTGAAACATAGAAAAATTGAAAAATTAAAAAATCTAATTGCAAAATCATAAAATTAAAATAAGGAAAAATTAAAAATTGGAAAAATTAAAAATTGAAAACAACGAGAATTAAAATATCTAAAAATTGAAAAATAGAAAAAGTATTTCAAAAATCGAAAGGAATAGAGAAAATGAAAAACTGAAAAAACGAAAAATTGTAACAATGAAAACGAAATTGAAAACTTTAAGAATTCGAGCAATTGAAAATCGTAAAATTGGAAATCTGAAAAATTAAATAATCGAAAAATTGAAAAAGTCGAAACATTGAGAAACTGAGTAATCAAAAATGGAAAACCTAAAAATTGTAACAATGAAACATTAAAAACTAAAAAAATTAAAAAATTTAATACCCGAAAAATCTAAAAATTTTCAAAATTGTAAAATTAAGATAACTAAAAATTCAAATATATAAAAAAAAAAATTAAAAATCTAATACATAAAAAGTCGAAAAATGGTAAAATCGTAAATTTGAAGAAACGAAAAATTGAAAAGTCATAAATTAAAATTTGAGAAACAAAACAGCACAACGTTGAGAAACTGAAAAAAATGAAGATTTAAAAATTAGAAAATTGAGAGACGGAAAATTAAAATAAGCGTTAAACATAAAAATTCTGAAGACGAAAAATTACGAAATTAAAATTAAAAATTTTTCTATTCAATTAACTTTTATTTAGATTGAATTATTATTTTGTATAGTTTGATTTATGCAGTAACCACTTCCTGTAAATAAATTATTATTATTTAAAAATCTAATAAAAATTTAAATCGAGAAATTGAGAAACTACAAATCGAGAAAATGAAAAAAATAACAACTCCAAAAATTAAAAATGGAGAAGCTGATGAAAGTTGGAAAATACTAAATAAAAATCTAAAAACCAAAAATCGAAAAATTGAAAATCGAGAAATTAATTTTTTTTAATAAATTCAAAATCTGAAAAATGAAAAAATTTTAAATTGATAACTAGAAAAATTGATTAGAAAGACAAAAGTACAAATGCTTGCTCACTGTGGATTCAAACCCTGAAAAAATCATCCATTTTACTTACCGAACGTAAGCTAAAGAAGTAAGTATTGTAATCGAGTTCATCGGGCGATTGTCTACTTTTATGTTTTTTGATGTTTCATGATCCCTAGAATACGAAAATATAGGTCTCTCGTTTCTGTTTGTCTGTCTGCCTGTCTGTCTTCTATCTTCTGCGCTGTCCATTTGTTTATCCGACCTATACCGAGGGAAATTCAGTCAAAATAACCTTCGACCACTTTTTTAAATCCTTTTTGACCACCATCACTTCCATCAGATTGGTTTTTGTTATTCTTGCCCATAACTGGACTAGCCCTGATGGTCCGAACAAAGACGTCTGCATCGATTATGCGGCAATCAAGCTATCGGAGTGCATTTATCATGCAACGGATGCACCGACTATTAATCATATTTGTGTAGCAGCGTCAAAATAGAGCATTGTATGTTGAATAAACGCCATTATAGCAACAATTACCAGAACCGGACTCTGGAGTGCGTCGCTCTTCAGCCTCATCCGTTAATTAGGGAAGTTTTTCGATGAAATTATGCAGACCAGACAGACTATCTTGACTTGAAAGAACAATCCTCGAGTTTGTAATACGATGCCGCACTTACAAGAAAACGTGCTCAAGAGCGAATTTTCAGGCACGAAAATACCTTTTGTAATCTGAAGGAGAATAAAATTAACTGTAACCGTACACCGGGGAGGGTGGGCTTTGTTTTGAGGTGGTGGCGGAGTGATGTATTATTAGATAGTGTGCGGGGTGACAGAGATTTTCAATTTTGGGAAGACTTGAGGGCTTGCCGTAATTTTCACGAAAAATTAATAAACACGTCTTGTTGCGGTACTTCGGGAGATCCGGCAGTAAATAAAGCGAGACTTCTTCATTCGGCGACCCTCTAGACCTCCTCGGCTCGGTTTTCTGTTTACCGAATAAAGTTTAAATATAGTCCAACATTTGTAAAAAAGTACATACAAGCACACGCTATCCCAAACACGTCTGAAAATAAACAAACAGAGAAACGGCGAGAGTAAACCGTTCTTAAAGCCCGGGAGTGACATGTTATAATAAAAGCCTATCTTGTGGCTTGCTCGCTAGTTTGTCTGTTTATTTTTTCACGGGGTGAATGTGCACCACGTGTAACTGTTTTTCCCGTTAAACCACTCGAGTGTTTGTGTACGTACATGTGTTGTACTTGGCAGGTCCACTGCTGGGACAGGTTCCACTTGCTGAGATGTTTATGGACCCGACTTGTCGTGCTAAGCCTGGCCCGGTGCAGCGGCGGCTCGTCGGGGAAAAAACTACGAACGAAAACCTCTTCTATCAATGGATTTACCAGGTAATTCACTTTTTGTTTAAAAGTATGCATCATTTTGATTTCACACTTTTGTATGGTTCTCACTTTTAAGTCTTGAGTTGTATCCACTGATTGTTTTTAAGAATACTGTTTTTCAAAGTCCGGAACAAAAATAATCTGAAGATGTCAAATCAGTTGATCGAGCTGGATACATGTGGTCTGTGTGCTATATGAAAATGTAGCTTTAAAAAAACTCACGTTAAGACGAGTATGAATTTTATTTTTCTTCGGTCTTGTCTGAGTTCCTCAAATTTATCATCCATCTCCAATTTTTAAGTTATTTAAATTTTATAAAAATAACATACTCTTTTACTTGTGGTTTATGAATCCGTGTTCAGTTTCAACCCTAGGTATCCCGATTTTTGTAAAAAAAAACTTGTGTTACGATTTAATTTTTAAATTTCAAAACTGAATGCTCTGAAACCTTGCAAACGTTTATTATATAAAAAATAATCAAAATTTATCCGTTTACGAGCCCTCTAAAAACTGATGACGTCATCTTACAATTTTGCCGAATAAATGTTATTTAAATTTTATAAAGTAACATATTCTTGCATGTGTCATCTATGAATCCATCTTGAGTTATTGCCCCAAACCTTCAGTTTTTTGGAAAAAAAAAATCAAAATTGGGTAACAATAGCAATTTAATTTTGAAACTGCAAAATCGAACTGAAATCTTGCAAACGTTTTACGGTTAGAAATTGAAAAAATCGAAAAATTTTAAATTGGGAAAATAAAAGCCAAAAAATAATTCAAAAATCAGAAAAATCGAAAAATTGCAAAATCGTAAAAATAAAGAAACGAAAAATTTAGAAATCGAAAAATAAAAATTGGGAGATGAAAAGTCGCATAATCGAAAAGTACTAAAAATTTAAATATGTACATATATGAAAATTGAAAAATCGAAAAAGTTGAATTCGAGAAAGTAAAAATCGAAAAATAATTTCTAAATTTAAATTGTGTAAAGTAACATGTTCGTGTATGTGTAATTTATGAATCCATTTTGAGTTATTATCCTAAGCCTGCAGTTTTTTGTTGAAAAAAACTTTTTACGGTTAAAAATTGAAAAATCAAAAAAATCAAAAAATCTGAAAATGGGAACGTAGAAGCCGAAAACTAGATCCAAATTAAAAAATATCGAAAAAATGAAAAATCTAAAAATTGCTACCTCGTGAAATTGACAGAACGAAAAATTAAAAAAAGAAAAATTAATACTTAATTGAGAGACAGAAAATCGCAAATTAGAAAATAACGAAAAATTAAAATATATAAAAATTGAAAAATCGAAGTTTTAATTCAAGAGAGTAAATATCGAAAAATCATCCAAAAATAGGAGAAATTGAAAAATTTAAAAATCGAAATATAGAAAAATTGCAACAATGAAGGATTGAAAGAAATTGAAGATCGAAAAATTAAAAAACTGAGAAACTTAAAATCCCCAAATTGAAACCAAGGAAAAATTAAAGACCTAAAATCTAAAAATAGTTCAAAAATCGGAAAAAATCGAAAAATCGAAAAATTACAACAACGAAATATCGAAAAATTTACGTACATATTGAAATTCGACAAATTAAAAATCGAAAAATAGAAAAATTGGAAGGCCGAAAAATTAAAAATGCCAAAATTGAAATCAACGAAAAATTAAAGAAGTAAACATTGAAAAATCTAAAAATAGTTCGGAAATCGGAAAAAATTGAAATATCGAAAAATTTTAAGTATAAGAAATTGAAAATCGAAAATTGGAAAACTGAAAAATTAAAAATCGCAAAATTAAAATCAACGAAAAATTAAAGAACTAAAATCTAAAAATAGTTCAAAAATCGGAAAAAATTGAAAAATCCAAAAATTACGACAATGAAATATCGAAAGATTTACGTATTGAAATTCGACAATTTGAAAATCGAAAAGTAGGAAAAACGAAAAATTAAAAATCCCAAAATTGAAATCAGCGAAAAATAAAGAACCAAAATTGAAAGAGTTCAAAAATCGGAAAAAATTCAAAAATCGAAAAATTACAACGATGAAATATCGGGAGATTTACGTATTGAAATTCCACAAATTGAAAATCGAAAAACTGAAAAATT